TTTAAGCTTAACGTCAGAGAATACTTGCACAGTAGTACAACCTGCAACATAACCTAGCTTGTCCTGTCCCTGGGACATCCGACTAGTTTTCCTCACCGCAGATGAATGACAATTTGTGCTGTGCAATGCAGCTGAAGCATTAACTAAAACAACCCATGGCATTTGCTGTTRCATATATAAAACTTTTTTCCATATATAAAAACAAGCAAAGGTCTACTTAGAAATCAAGTATCTTGGACCATATATGCAGCACTTGAGGCCTCAGGTACAGATAAGTCCCTTGTTGATACAGCTGTGATTCCTTTAACAGGAGTCATTCTGGGAGCTGCCAGTAGCACATCTCCAGCAAAACACCAGCACCTTCTACACGCACACGGCAGTCCCAGGCACCTTYTCACAGGGCTCATCTCCCTGCTCTAGCATAAAGGAGAAATCACACAGCTCCCAGCCTGAGCTGCTTGGAAATTAAAGGTGAAACAAACTGTCAAAATACAGGAAAGAAAGAAAGAATTAAACTATTGTAGTGGTGGGAGAGAGTTACATCTGGAATAGAGATTCAAAGGGAAATCTGTCACAAAGCCATTCCAGTTTGTTATTTTTGTTGTTGTGGACAGGAGTGGAGAATATTTGTGTTTTCCCTTCTGTGGACAATGCGAGTAGAAGCTGGTTTGATTTTCAGGTTTCCAGCTCTGCAYGATAGACACGCTACTTCTTTCGTTCCCAACCTCAAATTTCACTGAGGGAAAAAGGTTAACACATATAGACATAGTGACATCCCCACTCTTTTTATAAAGACTTGAAGATATTTTTGTGTGAATATGGAGCTAGAATAAATGTAAGTCAGGATGATGACTTGACAGAACAGATAAGCCGAACAAGGAGCTATTTGCTCTATTCATGGGCAAATTGGAGTTTGTCCCCTTTAACTTCTCCTACTGCTGTTACTCCTGTTACTACCAGAGCACAAGAGGTTTTGTACAAAGCAGCACAAAATGTCCACTAAATCCTTGCATAAAACAGAGACCACAGACACTTCCATCCTAATTCCACTTTTATTATTCTCAATAAAATGGAGCCTTTGAAAACCATAAAGGATCAGCAGTACTAACAAACAGATTTTCCAGCTGTTTTAGACCTAATGACTGAATGACTAACACACAGGTAAAGTGGTTAGAAAACCAAAAACAGTTTAATTATATACAGAGCAGCGACGGACAACATCATGCCAATCTCTTACTTATACCAAAAAAGGCATCACGACACCACTGAATCTCTGGGACGAGGGAAGCAGCCTGAAGTCTCCAGAAAGTAAGGCAGGAGTCTGTCTCCATGCCCAATTCCTCTATACAACAGAGACCATTTAGGGACTCTGCCCTGCAAAGACTGCAGCGTAGAGAKGTGTGTTTTCCTCCTTGATTTCAAGGACATGAGATCTCCTCAAGATTTTTTTCTTCCTCTCTTCTTTTGCAGGATACTCTCACCCCATGGATCTGTCACTGGATAGCAATTTTCACAAGGGCTTTCCTGGGCAAAGGGAGTATCCTCATCCAGAGGGAAAGAGGCAAGCAGGGAGGGCAACTCAGGTGACATACAGCATGCAAAGGGCAGAGGATAGTGCAGAGCTGGGCCACTCCAGGCTACCCGGGGCAGCCCAAAGCAGGAGTCAAACACAATCCAGGATAATATCAGCACCTTGTCAGTTTGATATCATTGATTGCACATATTTGGATCAGAGTACTCCAGGGCATTGGTAGATCAGCCAGTACAAAGCCAAAGCCTCCAAACAGCATACGGAATTTAGATGCACAGCTCCCATATACTTCAATGGGAATGATGCATCTGTCTCCCGCGGTAGCTTTGAAGTTCGCGGCCAAAAGTATTCTTAGCCCCTACTGTCATGCATGTCCCAAAGAGACAAAAAAAGAAGGTGCGAGCATGTGAGCCCGAGAAGCGGACATGGTTGAGGAAGTGAGAGACCAAGCAGAGCCTGATCTGGGAACCCTGCAGAGACRGATCATGTCCCTCAGGCTTTATGTTATCAACACATATTTGGAGGTAAAGGACAGACTTCTTTGCTCTCTGCAGAGCAAGCGCGCCATCCTGGCGCTATGGGTTGCTGACACGGAATTGCTTTCAGTGACATTTCTGGATCATTAAAGTTCACTCAGGTATCCCTCCCTAACCCTGTGGACCAGAGAAGAGAAGCTGCAGCTCAGAAAACCTGCTCCAGTGGAGATACAAAGGAGACAATGCTTTTCAAAGGCTAAATTTGCAGATATTCCAAATCATGTTATTAGCTGTTTGTATTTTTACTAGTGATTGGATGTGAAAAAGGAGAAAAAACAGCCCCTTCAGCAAGTGAAAATAATCCCTTTGTATCAGTGCATCAGTGTATTAGTTCATCCCCTTGCTTTGTGTTCTTGCACTCCAATTTTACTCTGACCTGCTGCAAAAGGTTGAATTTCTCTTCCCAGCTGCACCTGCCTTCTTTGTTTTGTGTGTGGTCTCTTGCTTCGTCACAACACTGCTATCATCTCCCGTTTCCAGTTCAGGAGTCCTGGAAAGGAACAGCTCTAGCATATGAATAATAAGCAGAGGGTCACAGACTTCCCTGCAGCCTTGGATTGTTTGATCACTGGATTTAAAAAAAAAAAAAGACAAAAACAAAGACACAAAATAAAACAAAAGGTGTGAAAAAGTGCTCTGCAAGAAGCACTGGTGCAATTGCATACGACTGCCTTCTCCTCCTTGCTGTAGGCAATCAAGCATGCAGAGCTCATCACGCTGAAAAGGGAACGCACAGAGAGCAGCTCCTGCACTTTGGAGCAATCCTCCATCTAGTAAAGGCACTGCTCAGGGAGGRGGGAAGAACTGCAAAGCGCTTCACAAGTAGATTGCATAGGTCCTAGCAATAAAGATGGTCTAAAAGGGCCTGAAAGCGTCTGAAAGCTTGGTAAGAAGTCAAGGTCAGTCACGTTGAGTAATAATTTTTTTTTTCCCCCCTCCTCTCACTAATCTTGGTTTTTTTTTTTTTTTTTTTTTTTTTTNTTTTTTTTTTTTTTTTTTTGGTTTTGTTTTGTTCTAATCTTAATTATATTCTCAAGGTCAGAATGCCAGTCTGAGCTTGCATCGTGCTTTATATCTTTTGTCTGAGGCAGTAGCCCTTGCAGCAGGATAGTTTGAAGCTACTTTCTCATGTTGGCGCTGTATTTCCACAAATCCTGGAAGTCAAATAACTCCTGGAATAACAGAGGACATATTAGATTGCTGACTAGGGTTGATATTCATTTTCATTATTTGTACCTATAAATAGGAATGATCTTTTTTTTCTGGAATATAGTCTCATGTAGAGCAGTATCTTTTCCTCAGATGGAATCAAGAGGCATAAGACAAATTTAAAATCCTTTCCTCTTTCCCTCTCTTCAAAGCTACACTCACAAAAGATGGGACAGATACAAAGATAACAAATCTGCTGCTAGGTATGGGGCCCAACAAATCTGAGATTCCCAGGTGTCAAACTGAACCCAAAAGAATCATCACATTTTTAAGACAGAAAAATTACGTAGTTAAGAATTTATTTTGCCTCAAGACAACATCTCAAACATTCAAAAAAAATCACAAGTTAGGTTGTAATATCAACATCAACTGACTTGAGGTGCTTCTTAATTGTGAGCCAGAGAATCCCATTTCCAAGACAATGTTCCTAATTCATGCATCCAAAACTCATTCCCTCAATCAGAGAAAATGTGATTCTTTTGCAAACCTCTGACTCCAAAAACTTCAGGTTTACRGAACACAGCTGATGCCTAGAATTAAATCAATGTGAATGAGCTGCTGAACAGTAACAACTCTACAAACAAAACTAGTGTTGATTAGTATAATAGGCCCTGCAACAAAGGCATGCAAAAATTAGYAATAAAACCAGTTTTGCGTGTTCTTTAGACTATACGTTCTTTGGAGCAAATACTGACTCTTGTTTTTTGCAAAGTTTGGCATTCAGAACCCAGGTTGCAGTCAGGACCATGATGTACTACCAAAATTTACGCACGTTCAAATGGAGGCCAAAGCTGGTCAATATGAGGTAGCTGCTCTGGACTGCAAATATTCAAATATCTATTTAGGCAGCAGGATTAAGGAAAGCAGACATGGAAACTAAATTCTTTCCAGCCAGATAATTCAAAATGAAATGTGGTTAAATCGTTAATTTCATTAAAATACACTTAGCATTAAAAAGAAAGAAAAACCTACGGGAAACATGCAGTGCAGCAGCCAGCAATACAAAATAGGACAGAACATTTCCAGCACTATTGTAAAGGAATTGTGTGGGTTTTGGAGAGCATTTCATCTTGGGAGAGAAGAGTCAGGAGTATAAAACCAGAGTTTAGCTAATATGCAGCAGTTCTGCATTTTCTGACACCATATCTTCACCTTACTCTGGAAGCTGCAAATAAAAAGAAAAATTCCCAGGTGTTACACACAGCTCAGACCACTGTCAGGGCAGACTTCTGGAGTGTCACATACTAAATTAGGCTTTGCAATTTATTGGTCTCTAAATTTTAATTAGGGGAGCGTGTTTTGACTAACTTGAGCTACTGCAAAATTAACAGTTTGGACCATACCTGAGACATGAAAAGATAGCTAGATATATTCATTTCTTTTAGTTGTGTGTCCTTAAGTAGGAGCCTCCAGTTCCTGGGAAGGTTTCATGAACAGGACTTACTATTTCATGTCTGAGGGCTCTTGCACCAAGGCAGCTCTCAGAGCTGCACATGGAGCATGTCTCAGGGCCATTTCAGAGCAAAAAAAACACCAGCTTAGACATCTCTGTTTTAGGAGAYATTTACTAATGGGGAGACATGCTAATGGAGAAAAGAGTGACCAGTAGGTTATGACCACACAGGCAGTCATGGTCACAGCTGGTGAACACCCCTTTAGTCAAGGCAGGTACTCACCTGTCTTTGCAAAGCAAGCTAATGCTTTGCAAACATTACAGGTTTGCATGGATCAGTTCAACTTGGCAGCCTGGAGAAGTCTCTTTCTGYGTATAAGTTTTTATTCATCCAAATGAGCCAGAAGGCTGCTACAGCAAAGATGGTATAATCTATATTGCAAGACAGAAAAATAATCAGCCCACATTTCTGAAGCACCCTAACCTAGAAAAAAAGAATGAATTTGTTTCTAGGACAGACCTCTTGAAGAGAAATGTGTATCTTCTGAGAGATTTCCTTTGCTCCATCATTTGTGCTTTATTCTTAAAATTTCCCTTTAGAGAAAATAAAATTCAACTTCAGGGATTTCAAGGTTGCTTCACTGTCACACCTGCTTAAATCCTCTACATGGGCTAAAAAAAAATAAGCTCCAAAGGGACTGAACAATGAAGTTCTGTGAAAGCTGGAGCCAAGGATCTTTAGACTATTCTGCATTTGYAATATGCAAGTATTAGAGCATCTCTGCAGCAGTCTTGAGTGGTGACCTCAACTTGGGTGCAAGGGAAGGATGCAGGTTTTTGAGTTTTTGTGTACTAACAACAGATAGGGACAGGTCTCAGAGGGGGCTGACCAAAATCTACAATACATGGGTGGGACATGACATTTGCTGTTGCTGGTATCCATGTTATAGAGCTCAGAGGCCAGCTAGGCAAGTCAGAGGTCTGGAGGCAGCACAGGCAGGTGTTACAAACTCTGCTTTCAGCCGGAAAGGAGCAAAAAGGTGATAAGAGAAGTCATTTCTCTATCAGTTCAGAAAAGTCTTTTCTCTTTCCAATAGAAACTTTTCTTTTAAATCACACAAAGTCAGCATTGGAAGACAGGTTCATGGTCACAACCCCGGTGAACACAAGCCCAAGTGTTCTTGTTGTGCAGAATACATGGGCAGAAATGCCAAGATTAAGGGAGGTTCTCTACTGGTGCTCTTGCTCTCTTAGTTCTCTTCCCTACGCTAGGAAACACAAGGCCAAAAGCATCTCTAAAGTCTGTCCATGCTTGGTGTCAGTTACTAGCTGTGATACATCAGCCATATGCCACTTATAGTGAAGGGATGATGTGGGTTGCTGAAGATACCCACTTTAGACAGCAATGGAAATACTGATGGCAGCTAGCTGTGAAGCAAGGGGTTTTAAATGGACAGAATTAGAAAAGATGCTGCCTTCCAATCATGGTTTGCCTACTGACAGTTTAAGGTTTCCTCAAAAACATGTCACTATTGCCCGTATGCACTCATGCTAAAAGCACAACTATGTAAACTGCCCGAGAGCACTTTTAAGAAATCAGCCAGAACTAACGTGAAATGGAAAAAAAAAATCATTAAAACATTCTCAGAGCTTCCTAATATGTCCTGAAACAGTGTTCTTATATATAGGAATGCTGGGAGATTAAGATCCAATATCTCATGATCTACCATGTCTAGGAACAAGTACTTTAATACTATTGGAAGTGTGCCCTCTTAGACTTTTGGCTGCATATTACTTTCATCTCTAGTTGTAGTGAGTGACAAACTCCCCTCCTACCCAATTATTGTTTGTCAATATCATCCTGGGCATAATTTTGTCTTAAAAGTCTATGCTTTGAGGAAAATTAGGTTACTGGTTTAGGTCCAAGAATTTTGTTTTAAGACAACGCCTTTTAAAAGCAATTTAGAGGATTGGCATATTAGCGCGTAGTAAGCTGCATCAAATGCAATTTATCACAGGGCTCTCCAGATCATGGGTGTGACTTGCTCAGCTTTCCTAAAATGTGATAGTATGTGGCAAAAATGCTTTGCTACTCATTTGGCCACCAGTACACATACATAATTCTTCTATTTGTGAATAATGATATAACACCAACTCAYGCCAGTAAAAATTTGTAGCATGCTAGCCCATCATAGGTTCTGTTTATAACACTGTTTATCCTTTTTCCTTAAGTTCTCTCACTAAAACACATTAGTTAGTAYGAAAATGTCAGGGCATCTAGCACAATTTATTCCCAAACACTAGTTATTTTGAGAGAAAAATCAGCAAACACCTAGCTGCTAGATTATGCAAGTCTATTTGTCTAGACAAAAAAGTCATTACCTAGACAGTTTTTTTTTTTTCCTCTCTCTCTTAAGCCTAACTCACTCCATCCAAGTGTTTTTGGGCATTTCAATTAGGATTTTCTTCAAGTAATGGTTCCAGATATTCTTTACTGCACTCAGCCACTTAGCCACACAACTCAAGCAACCYCTTCACATCAACCTGACAACCAAAATAAAACTCCTCAGAGAAAGATAACATATGGTAAGATAGTTTTCAACATGACAGTGTGTCCAGCAAGGACCATAGCACTGCAGGGACACCACAGATCACTTAAAATACAGTCCCAGGCATGGTTATATCATTCTTCTCAACTCGCCTCCTACAATTCACCTTTGCCTCCCCAGATACACAAGGCCAAAACCCATTCTTAAAGTTATCCAAGATAGAACTCCAGCTTTAAGCATCATTACTGACTCCTTGGGTCAGAAAAAACAGATCAGCACTCAGAAASTGTCTACAGCTCCCTGTAAATATTCTCACCTACGTTTCCATCGATCAGCTGAAGAAAGGTTTTTACAGCAACCACCAGACCCCGTTCACTTCCCTTTTGCCACTTCTAACATCTCCACTCACTCTGGTCTTTTTGAGAGAAGGTGGAAAAAGAGCAAAGAGCATGGTAACCTGAAAATCAAGTCTTGCATGAATCAACTGCTTTGCCACAAGTACAGTTTCAAGGAAGAGGGAAAGATATGATTCAGTCTCTGSAAGTAAATCCCTTCCCTGCACTTCATGTCAAACACCATTCAAACACTGGTAATGTTGGTTACTGAAAATATTTGACATGCACCAGCTGGGCAGCACAAAACTGATTCAATTCAGGCGCAGGTAGAAAGGCTGGATTTTTTTTTTTTTTTTTAAATTTTATCCCTAAAATTGAAAGTAAAGTCATGCAATTAACTAATATGTTTATCGATCATAGAAAGGAAAATGCAATTAGAGATATTGCTTGCAACCTACTACTCAACAGGTGAATGTATTTGAGTACAGGCTCTGGCTAGAAAACAGCACAGAGGAGGTAATCATGTTAGTATTAAATAAAGTTACACCAGTTCAGTTAGGCCACTCAAATCATTTCTAGAGCACAAAGACCAACTCCCCAAGTGAATGAAATCATTACAGCAATCTACTTTTAAAATTTATTTGCTGAAAGCATGGCACTGAAAGCTTTGCTTGGAAAAACATAACCGTCTTGCAAAAAAGATGCAACATGAAAAAGAAGTAAATATAAATCGAGAACAGCATGTATGACTACCACAGATAAGAAACATTAAAAGCTAATCCTTCACAGCCCAAAATTTATGCCACTGTAAAACACTACCCTCAAATATTTTCATTTAGTGGAATACTAAAATGCCTCTGCTGAAAACAATTACATTTTCAGAATTAATCACATACATCTGAGTGCACTTTGACTTCATAAGCATATTCACACATTCATTGGCATCTTGATTTTTTTTTTTCTTGTATTACAGCAGAATTCGGAAGCTGTGTGCAAGATTAGGCTCCCCTTTTGCTGGATTCACCTGTTATGTAGGCATTAAGATGTATGTATTTTCACAACCAAAACCACTTTTGTGGCAAAAAACTTCAGGATTTGATTCACAGGAATTAACAAAGACAATTTTAGTGTAACTTCAATTTCAGAGGTAAATGTCCAACAGAAATGAAAAAGCTAAGCTCTCAAACTGTCTTCCTTTCAGATGTACAACACAGCATTCTTTATATCCTGCTTTGCTTTCTAGGTGTGCTCATTAATATATTATTGCTTATATTACATGTATACCGTAATACACACAGGAAGTGCAAAGGTATACAGCTTTTTAAAATACACAGACCTCTGGTTAGTAGCGTACCTCATTTTTTCTCTCAACACAGTCGGAAGTAATTCATAATAATCACTTGACWGGAAAGTAACACAGGAAAAAGTAATTAGTATGGAGACCATCAGGACTTGTAGAACCAGCTAGATTCACTTCTACTAGCTGCAAGAGCATCATCACAGAAGTAAAGAATCCAGCACMTCTCAAATTTCAGAGTAGCTAAAGCTAAAAGAAAACCCTGCCGATTACTGTGACCAGTCTTCCTTTTTTTCCCCTCATTTATTTTACTGTACAGAAACTTATATTTGCACAATACTGCTACAAGGTCACCTTTCCAAAAGGCAATGTCTTAACTGGACAGAAGCTGTCTAGAGAGAGAGAGAGAGAGAGAGAGAGAGAGAGAAAAAGAGGAACTAAAGTACTGAAGTGTTTGCTCCATTTGGTCCTGTTTTTATTGTTTTATTATAAGAGTGATATTCATAGGTCATAGTAGTAGCTGGTGGTGAGGTTTTCCAGGATATAAAAAAACCCAAAAACCTGAGTAAGCTTCCTTAACTTCCTCAAGTTTGTCTAACAAGAAGCTTTTTAACAACATAAGCAAACATCATTCAAACAGGAAAGCAGAAGAACAGCCTGCCTGGAGCACTGGCTGAGCCCACTGGTTAGATCCTAGTGCCTTCCTGATGGGACTTTTCTTTTCCGTCTCAAACATAGATAGAATAGGAACCAGGAGCTGCATGTAATTAGTCCCAGACTTCTTCTTAAGAAGTTTAGTCAGGCCCAAGCACCAAAAAGGTGCCAATATTCTAATAGAAGGGTTGGATCTTTTATCCCGTCTCTCGAGGCTGTCCTCATCATGCAGCAAGTGAGGAGATGTCAACCATCTGGAGAAGCTCTCCTGCTGCTTCCTCTGGAAAGGAGCACTGTCTTCTGCACTCTGAAGGCAGTAAAAATCTCATGATTCAGTTGACAGCAGAGAAGTCAGTCACAACCCCTTACAGGCAGTCAAACCCAGATGAAATGGGAAAGGGAGGAACAAAGTCAGTCCATGTGAAGGACAGAAAAAAAAAAAAAAAAAAAGCGCCCTGGAAGTCCTCAAATGCNGCCCTGGAAGTCCTCAAATGCTCTAAGGTTCAATCTTTCCCCAGAGTGAGATAAAAGAAATAGTCTGGGTAATGCTCCTTTTCACTCCAACGAGACCTGTGAGGTGATGCGGCTGGGCACTTCAAGCCTTGCTTGCTCATTTGAAGGGCAGGACTATTCCCCATATCCCCTCTCTTTGACCTAAGAAACAGGAGATAAGTTCCCATCTTTCCTTTCCCACTGCAAGCAGGGAGGACAGACAAGTTTGTATATACAACCAGGTATGGTTTTCAC